AGCTACAGCTCTATTTTTTTTAATAGTGTCTTTACCTGAACAAAAGGCTTTTACTTCTCTCCCTTTTAAAAGATTACTATTTTTCTGGAAACAAGCTCCCATTGCTTACCCTTAGCTGCAATGGCACTTAACTGTTGAGTGGTATAAGAGTAAGCCCTAACACCCCTTCTTATTAATCATAAATGTTACCAGGCTCTGCAGCCATCTCCTGAAACGTCAAATGTGGAAACTCCCCTGGTCTTTGCCTGCTTTTTATCGCCACCATTTAGTAGCCAACCTGCACAAACRTCAAGGGTCTTGATTGCCACGTACCTCCTGCGAGAGGCCTCCTTGCCTGTCACCCGCTGCCTCTATAGCCCACAGACAGTGTAAAGAAAGGGGAAAGCCTCCAGCAGGAGCCCTGGCCTGGGAAAGGCCAAAGGAGGTTGGCCCATGGGCTGCAATCAAGTGTCACCCATGATGAAAGGGAGCCCTTCTGTCTGCTGGGCGTGTGGAATGGGAACAGGTCTGACATCCCTCTGGGAATTTGCACCCTTAGAAAGAAGGAGGTCGGGCTGTGAAAGGCTGCCTGAAGTTCCCCAGCCACCTCTCAGAGAGGCTCCATTTCAGGGGCACGGAACAAACTCAGGTCAACYGGCACCACAGTAGTTGTGCACCTGTTTATCCGGATTTTATGTGATTTACACCCCTTCCATGATATTGTATGTACTAGGCATGAGATGTTGAGATAATGTAGTAGGATTTTCTTTAATACAAAAAATTGCTGATTCATAACCTTGCTTAGATTATTAGCATTTATCTTAGCAGACCAGGCAAATATCACAAAGTTCATTAATGTTTATAGGTCAAGCCAGTCTCCTAAATCACTGAAAATCAATGACAAAGTGATTGCCATGAGATTGCTCTCCTTTAATTGGAGAAAGGGTGAATCCGGAACAAGAACTGTACAGTATTTAATTGTGCAGCCTGTTACCAAAAAAAGAAGCATCTCACTGCATCTTACGAAGACATTTACATAGATAATGCGGATTTCATATGGCTGCTTCCAGCCTGTCTGCTGTGCTATCTTTGTGAGTGCCCACAGTCTCCTAACAAGAAGCTGATAGAAAATTCAAGCAAAAACTGCATTGCTGCAATTACCACATTATAGGGAGGTTGCTTTATTTTGTTAAGTCAGGTGGCCAATAACAAGAGCAGGAAGGCTTGAGGCATTAATGCTTCACCCCATCTGGAAACAAACTTATAACCATTCTTCTTTGTGAGAATTTATCTAGTGATGTCAAGGAAATGTAGTGCGATATTACCTTTTCATCAAAATGACAAAAACGCTTCTTCTGAAATTCCAAATTATACAGTTCAACAGCTGCTGTTTTATTGAAGCAACAGCTATTAGCGTCTTGATGATACGGTTCTTAACTTTTTCCCCTTTGTGGTCAGCTTTCTTTCTTRTTCCTGTGCTTTCTTCCCTGTACAGCTGGCTGCCGCTTTCCTTTTCATGGTAATCATGAAAGGGTTGAGAGCACGAAGGGCTTTCCCTTCTCATTCTGCCTTACTTTAGAAATGTTGGGATACTTAAATACCCCGTGCTTTGCTGAATGTCTTGTACATGCGATGGCTTAAAACCATTTCTCTTCAGCCCTTCTCACGTGCCTCTACACAAACGGGCTCTGGCAGCCCTGCTCGGAGYTGCACAAACCGACCTGCTCGCCCTTCCTCGTGTGCTGTGACTTCTATGCCCATGTAAATGCATTCTTAACGGCAAGTAATGCGGGAAAGGTACTGGCCCTGGATTAGAGCTGAGAACAGGCATGTTGAACTTCCATTTGCTAGTGCTGCAGTGAGTCAGTGCGGCTCGCGCTGCCTCTGTGCAACACGAGGAGGCAAAAATCCAGCTGTGGAAAAGAGGCTGAGCAGGGATGAGGTGGAAGTGAAGGAAAGCAAAGCGCGTGAACGCAATCCCGCACAAAAGCTTTGACTGGAGCTTTTACACTTTAACATTTAGCAAGTGTTGTTATATTTGGAATAACTCTTGTTTACTGGATGTAAAACTTAAATATGTGCCCAATAGGGAGGCTCCAAATAATAGCTCTGCTTTCTGTAATAAAAATCTCCCTTCCAAGATCCTCTCAGGAGCGAGCAGCAGGGTCAGTATTTCATTTTGCAGAAGTCAGCTCACGCTGACAGGGGTTTGGCCTTCTTAGTGCTGGGCCGTTTGCTGCTCAGGAGAGTGAGGAATGGCTTCCTGCAGTATCCATAGCTCCCCTCATGCCCCGGTTTTACCATCGCAGCTGCCTGCAGGTCACCATGCGCRGCGCCCACACGGCTGCGGGGCCGGGGCGCCTGTGCCGCCCGCTGCGAGGGACCAGCCCTGCCATTAATGTAGCTCAGGGGCTTGTAATAAAGTCAAAGGAGATTTGAGTGGCCCAGGCCACAGCCTGGCCTTGGGATTCAAAAAGGCCAAGGAAAATGAGGTGGAGAATGTCATGGGCTTTGTTTAATTTGCTGCTCGCGGAACGCACCGGCTTTGCCCATGGGTTGGGATGGGGCTCCAGTGGCACCAGCCCCAGGGTCTGTGATGACTGTGGGGCCAATGGGGTACCCAGGAGGAGGTGGCGGTAGCTGAGAGGTGCCATTGCAGGTCCTTGGCACAGCCCCATCTCCACAGCGATTTTGCTCCTTTTTCTCCTTTTCTTCTCCTTCTCTCCTCTGTAGCTCTTGTGTACTTTGCCCATATGCTCTAAAGCTATTTTGTTTCCAGTTTTATGTATGTTTTATGTAAATTAGAAGAATGGAGCTCTTGTGCTCGCTAAATTATAAATTGAGTGGAAATTGGCTGGCTCCCTTCAGCCTGTCCCTGCGAGCTGCACCAAGCATGGGCGAGCAGGCCCACGGGCCAGGCCGGGCCGGGAGGCAGCACCATGACGGGGCACGTGGGCCATGCGTGTCGGCCCGCGCAGCCCTGGCCTGCGGCGCCCGCTCGCCGCTCCTCAGAGGGAGCAGAGCGTTTGGGTTCCTTCCTTCCAGTGTAAGCACAAACGTGTCCTGGATTTAGTGCCTCTTTCGCCCCTGCCCCTTTCTGGCTGTTACTGCACCACTGGACCAATTGTTTAAGGAAGGGAGGCCTAAAATGCAGTCCCTGAGTTTCTCCTTCGCCATCTTAAGTAGCCAGAGGTTTGGGCATGGAGTAGCAGCAGCCCAAACAAAGCCCAGGAGGCTGAGCTGGGTGAGTCCTCCCCTGCCCCAGGGATTTTGGGATGAGCCTGTCTGGGCGTCCCAGTGCACCAGGAGCAGGTGCTGAGCTCGCGCTGCAGACGGAGCGTAGCACGAACAGGTCCCGGCCCTAGGAATCGCGTTGGGATCTGCTGGGGCCATTGCTGCTGCCTCTCTGGCCTGTGGGAATTTGGATTTGGACTCTTTTGCTCCAATTTCATAAAATAAATGCTTTTTCTTTTTTTTTCTTTTTTTCTCTTTTTCTTTTTCTCCCCAAAGGCATCAGGTAAAATAAAGGCAGGCGACCTGCAGCCCAGGCAGTTTGATCAGTGGGAATGTGCTCGACTGCCTAGCCAGTGCTGAGGGAAAATTGGTAAAAAATCACCAGTGACTTATTAGAGCGGCTTTTTTTTTTCTTCAAAGGGAAGACATTGCTTTTCATTTCCTGGTGTGATTTTTATTAAACCTCTGCCTATTTTATTGGACAGCTCACCTATATATCAGCCACCATTTGCATTTCAAAATGAAGTACGTATAGTGGTTTCAAGCAACCTACAAGCTAGGCTGCCATTTCTCTAGACAAATAAGAGGATCATTTTTAATCCATGAAAGAGCCCATTAAAGCTTCTCCTCAATACACAAAAATTAAGTTAGCAGTAATTAATGTAGCCAGGCTAGAACCTTAGCGAGCTCCTGCCAGCGAGTGTCTTCTGGTGCACTCGAGAGGCTGCAGTTTGGCTGTTGGCACCAGCAAACAGGTTGGGAATTGTAAACACGGTAATTAGCAGCAAGTTTCTGGATCTCAACTTGCCAGACTCGCAGTCTGATTCTTGGAGTAGTTGCCGCATGGGAGGAGGGAAAAACAAAGTAAGGGAATTAGAGCAACCTTGCATCACTCCGCCAACATATGCCACTGGACCAATGTTTTTCTTGGCAAAGATCGCTGGTAAGGAGCTCACGAGCAGCCTTGCAACCCTCCTGCATGCGGTGAATCTCGCTGCCGGTGCCAGCCGAGCCGCCACCTCCAGCTCTTCCGGAGGCTGCAGCCCTGCTCTACGGAAGCGGATTGCACAGGTCTAAGATCCTCTTGCTACACCTCCACGGTGAGGCACAGTGTTGATAAGGTTATCCACAGTAATGGGATTAAAAGAGTTAAAATCCAGCTTTTGCAGTAATCCTGGAGTACTCCATTGTTGAGCTATCAAAGATTAAGATTATAGTAACCTTATTAACCCTTGATGTAGTGTAAATAAAAAGGAAATGTCAGCCTTAATTCCACCATGAAATTAAATCTTCCCTTCTCTAAGTGATGATTCAAACACAGCTTACTCCAACCAATATGTTTTATGAAAATATTGAACTTCTATGAATATAAGAAATCCCATCTGAGAGGGAGAGAAAAGGAAGATAAAAATATGGTGCTTGTTTATTATAAAAAGCAGAAATAATGCTCCTCCAGTTCATGTGTCTGCAAGAAACTTATCTAGAGGTGACAGAGAGTGCAAGGAATAAAGTCAGCGGGTGTAAAGCCTGGTCACCCAGCAAGCCCGGCAGCCTAGGAGCTGCCCGCTGATGACACCAGCACCATTTGGGCCCACATGGAGGGCAGCGGCAGCAGGAGCTTGGCTGGGCACAGCTGGCTCCTGCTGCAGGTGCCCTGGTTTTCCACGTTAATGTTTTCTGCATTCTGTTGATTTACATCAGGTCACCTGTGCTGAGCCTGGCTGCTGGTGGAGCAGAGGCTGCTGTGGGCTCTTATAAGGCTTAGAGCAGCTTCTTCCTCCTTTTTGCTCCCTGTGTCCCAGGAATGCCTTCCTGGCTGGCAGTGGGGAATTTTGCTCAGGAGTCTGTGGGATGTGGCCCAGGTAACGTGTGCTCCCTTTGAGGCACTGGAGGTGCAGGGAAGGGCAAGGGGCTGATGCCCCTGCCCTATGTTGTGTTGTTTGGGAGGAGGAAAAGTAAAACAGGGATAGAAGTGGGGAAAGGGATCTGGATCTGCTCTCTTCCCTGTCTTCTCCAAGTGCTCCCCATGTCCCAGCTGAGGGGCAGGGTTGATGTGCTGCCTGTAGCCCAGAAGGGAATTTTTGGAGGGTGTGAGGTGTGATGGGGGAAGCGGTGGCTGCAGGGGGCTGCTCCCAGGGAAGGCAGCTCTGCCACCTTGGCAAATGCCGGTCCGTCCTGTGTCACCTGCACCCCCGGGGAAGTGGCGCTGCTGTCGCTCAGTCGCCAGCTCCTGGGTGCAAAGTGCCGCAGCTCCGGCGCATGCGCCCGCTGGCGTTGGTTGAGCGGYGCGGGCGGCCGCTGCGCTGCGCCTGCACCCACTGCCGCTGCAGCGCGCAGCGAGCGCCTTGCTGAGCCTGCTCCGCATGCCTCCCGCCTCTTCCCAGCATCRCAGAGGGACAGGCAGCAGGCCCTGGGGGTTCTTCAGAAATATCACTGCTTTCCAGTGCTGGCATAACGCTCCCTTCAAGGCAATATCCCTTGTCTGGGCAATTTCCCAGTAAAATACTAAATTGCAACTGCAGAGCAGTAAAAGCAAGGGCATATTTGTTTGACTGACACGAGGAGCCTCCAGAACAAATGCAATTAGACTCCAAGCATGCTGCTGCTGCCCGTGCCTGCTTTGCCACCGCAAAAAAGCCACCTTGGGGTTCTGCTGGTGCCCAGCACCTGCTTGGTGTCCTGCCCCTCTGCAGCGGGTGTGTGGAGGGCAGGGGGCTCCTGTGGCTGGCACTGGGTCCCTGCACTGCTGTGGTGGAGCTGGTGCTCAGGGACCCGACAGATCTCAGCTGAGCAAAACCCTCGTGGGCATCGGTGGCTTTGTGCCAGGCACAAGCAAACAGGGATCCCGGCTGCCTCAGTCTGTGCTGGAGGCAAATGATGTTTTCTTTGGAGCTTTGTACAGTGAATAGTTGACATCATGTAAACAGTTTGATACATGGCTGGCATCAGAAGGAGGTGGGGAAAAAGAAAGGGGGTAGCAGCTTAGCTTTGCCAGAAGGGGGTAATTGAAAACAAGCTGGCACCAAGTGCCAGGGGCTGGGGTTAGTTGTGAGGCAGCGTGGTGGGTCACCCACCTGTTGGGAAAGGCTGCTGGGCAGCAGGCAGGGTCAAAGCTGTTCCTCTYGGTGGGGAAGCAGGGTCTTGGCCATGTAAATTGGGTTTGCAGGGTTGATCTCTACTTATGGACCCTGGCGTGCAGGCCCAGGCCTGCAGAAGGTGCCTTAACCGGAGCTCTGCTTGGGTGCAGGGTGATGGTGCCTTGGCCTTGCTGCAGGCAGCAGCACAGGGCAGAGCTGCCTCTGCTGCGTGTGGAAGCTCTTTCCAAGCCACAAAAGCCATAGCGATGATTCAGGAAATGACAATGATGATGAGAAAGCTTTTCTAATTTCTACCAAATTGCACTTTCTCTGGATATTTACATTCAGAATCCCTGTGGGGTAGGAGTGGGGCGGGGGGAGGGGAGGGAAAGCTGCTTCCATTTCCTATAATCGGCAGCAAATTTGGTGCATCTTTCTCTGAGCCAGGGCCTAGCCCCGGCGTGCTGGCTTTGTGCTCAGGGAAACAAGCACAGGCGTGTGCTGCACTGCCCCTGCTGCAGGGCACAAGAAGCCACAACAAACCATAGGCACAAAAGTTTCATTATTATTAATTTGTAAATCAAGTATAAATGCAGGGGAGCCAATGAAGCTGCTGGTGCTACATGGCTGTAAAAGGAAGGGGCGCGTTGCCCGTGAAGTGCTGAAGGTTGGGTCAGACACATCAGGGCCTGGATYCTAGTGCTCTATGAAGGCTGTTAGATGAGTGCGTTTGCAGACTAAGACCTRTGTTAGACACATTTTAATCTGAAATACCAGGAGAGTCATCTCCTGAATCCATAACTTGTGTCCTTCAGTATTTCAGCATGCCCTGAATCATATGCTGATTTGATTTACTCTTTGATTTACTATAAAGGACATAAGCAATTTTTTGAAGCAAGGAGGCCCACTATTACTGTAATGCAAATGCAGGGTGTTTGCTGCAGAGCTCGAGCTGCTCCCAGTGTGTGGATGGGTGCGTGTGCGGCAGCGCGCTGGGAGCTTGTGACACCCTGGACTGGTGGGGAGAGCTGCTGGGCAGGGGGGTGCGCAGGTCTGAGTGATGCTGCAAGGGAAGGTTCAGGTTTGTTTTCTTAGCTAAATTTGCTGACTTTCAAACTGCAACTCCACAAATCTGTTTTCCTTCTTGTTGCAATTAATACTTACCTAAAGGGGAGGGAGAAGGACTGGAACAGCCCTCACTCTTGAAGGGAAGGTCTGGACCGTAGCAGTGCTGGGTGCAGCAGAGGCTGAGCCCAAGCCATGTGCTGAGTTTGAGGCATTTACAGAGGGGTCCCCAGGTCCTTTTTCCTCCATCATAACCCCAGGCCAGATGGGGTGTCCTTGGGCCAGGGCGCTGGAAGCAGAGGGATTCTCGGTGCTGGAAACAGAGGGAACCTCAGCTGTCAGTGATGGCGGGATGCAGCTCAGCAGCGCAAATGGGCATGTATGCATGCACGTGAAGTGTATATTTAATGCAAGGCAGCTGAGAAAGCTGGTGAAACCATTTTGGAAACAAATGTTTACATTTCTGAAGCTGTTATGCATTTTTTTTCCAGAAGTTTAATACCACATTTAGTGTCTGAGAGTGGAAAGTCACTGGAAAGTATAAAAGAGGAGGCGCTTAGAGAAGCTCCAGCTGAGATCTCCTCTGTCACATCTCAGCATTTCTGTTGATGGGTTTCCAAATCTTCACTGTTTTCCAAGCCTATATCAGTACAGTGATTTAAGGTTAATATTCAGAAAACAAAAGCTGTTTATCACATGAAATAATTTCTACAGTTCAGYCCAATCACTTGGGTAATTCACTCGCTTGGTGAAGAGTTGGAGATTCTCCAGAGGACGGAGAAAGACGGAGCTGCTCGGCACCATGAAATTCCTGCCTTGCCTCAGTCCTSGTCTTCCAGTGTAACCAGGCACCATCCTCCCTGCCCAGCACTGTGTGTGCAGGCAGGATTGAAGCCTCATGAGCGYTTGAGGACTCCTACCAAATTACCTGAAGCAAGAACAGGAAAACTGTTTAGAACAGCAAGGTTTAGTTTCTAGATCCAGATTGCTGTGCGTTGTGCACAAGCTCCCTAATGTTTTAGTAATGATTCTGCAAGCTGACTGAYAGCTCTGAAAAGCTTTTCTGGAGATTATGTAAATCCCTAAAAAGATCTCTTACCCTAAACTCGAGTTTTGCAGCAGAGTCAAATGCTGTGAAATGTAGGCATTGCCAAATTTTAAAACCTTGCCGCTACCTTACGTGAATACTCCCAAATACCTGGGCCATGGTAATGGTGCCCTGGAAGGCTGCTTTGGAGTAGACTCGGACAGTGCCATGGTAATGGTGCCCTGGAAGGCTGCTTTGGAGTAGACTCGGACAGTGCAGGGCTGCCCCGCTTCCTGGGAGGAAGCGTTTCCTGCACCTCCATTCCCTCCAGCGCTGCTGCTCCAGAGCTGCACCAGCCGGGGGGAGATCCAGGTCCCTTCACATCTAGCCCAAACTGCAGCTGTCAGACTGCACATCAAGCAGGGAAGCGGCTCCCGGTTCTGATGCCCAGTAATGGGCAGAGAAGATGCTGCTTTGTGCTTCAGCTTGCTGACTTGGTGCAGAAATTACTGCAAAACATTTACAACTTCATCCTATCTTGCAGCCTTTCCTATGAGCCCCGATGTGGCTGCATCAGCACCCTACTGCTGCTGGCCCCAAGTGCTTGGGGAGCAAAGAGCTCCTGCGCCTTGAGGGGGGGATGTGAAAACCTGCCCATGCACTTGCAACTTCTAAATGTTGCTATTCAAACGCGGTTTTGTTATCTGTTTGCAACCTTTCTGCTTGTATTAAATCTGCCATTTAAGATACTATCTGTTGTTAAAGATGCTATGGTGTGGATGGCTAGACAGCATTCAATGTTTTTGTGAGAGCTGTTAGGAGAGCCCTTGTTAGCTCTTACTGCAGTCGTCTTGGTGGGAATTAAAGTAAAAAAGGAGCTTATTGCATTGCAAAATGTTCAGAAAGATGTGCTTCAGCAAATAAATGCCTTTATTTTCAGTGTCTGAATGGCTATGTAAAGAGAAGGGACTGAATAATAGTAAAAACTATGTGATTAAGGGCTTGCTAAATAAGTTGTAACTAGTTTTTCAGAATTATCCCAGAATCATTAACAAAATGTTTCTTGCATCCTATGAGCTTCTAGACCTGCTTGAGCTGTGCATTCCTGCTCCCCTAGAAAGGTACTTTTGAGTTTTGATAAAAGCAGATTAAAAACTCCCTTTCTCATTTGTTTTGGTGATTTGAATAAGGCCACTAAAGGAGCTGGGGCATTTTTTCCCYCTCGTGCAAACAAAGTACTGGTGTGTGGGGAGGTGTGGGTGTGTATTGTATGTGGGTTTTTTTAAAGAAAAGTGACAAAATAGAAAACAAAAAAGAATCAAATAGGGATAAGAGATTGAAAATGAGAGGGAAAAGGAGAAAAAAAAAAAAAAAAAAAAAAAAAACCCCGAAAGGAAAATGGATGAATATGGGCAAGCTCAGTAATTAATTCTTAGTAGTATTTTGAGTCTCTCTTGCAGGCAGGAATGAAACATGATTTGGAGCTTGCTTTGAAATAAAAATATTCCTCCCCCTGACCTTTCCCACTTCCAACACTTCTTCCCCCCTCTCCAAGTTAGGAAGGGAGACTTGCACAGTTATTTTGTCCCTGGCAGAGCCACCCTGACTGCCCGTGATGCCCTGGGCTTTTGCTTGGCTCCATATTGCATCCAGCCACATCCGCCTGACCTGCGGGCTGCCAGGAACATGAGGAAGCGGCAGCCGGGGCCGGCACCACGGGGATGCGGTCACAGGGACCGGCAGGGCCGGAGCAGGGTCCCTGCTGCCTCCCTGCTGCGCCCCAGCGCTTTCCTCTCCCTTTGCTTTTCCTCCCTTTTCTCTCCTCTAAATGGAAAGTTTCGCGATATGTCTTGATAATGTTAAATAAAAACTCCTCTAAACCACAATAGCTGTTCTTTTAAAAATACATTCAGTGCTCTCATGCAAAGATTGTGATTGAAAATGTATGCATTTGAGTAGCCTGTATATCAAAGTCCAAATATTGTTTGTTTTTTTTTAAAGGTGTTTATGGAATATCTTTGCTTTTCTTGTACCTTCTTAGAGCTGCAGATAGAAATGCTGAAAGCAAATGTCCCCCGATTGCTACTTGCTGYCTTATAAAAAGCTGAAGCCGAAATGAACTTCCAAAGAGATTGAATTAATAGTGTCCTTGTGAAGGAGTAACCTGAAGAATTTACCCATCCACCAAAAGTAAAAGCAAATTTCAACCAATAGACACTGTGTGACTTGAAAAGACAGGTTGGAGGTGAGTTTTGGAGGCTTTGGACTCGGTGTTTCCAGGCCGTGTGAGAGGAGTGAGTTTTGGATCTGGCCTGGATGACAGTGAAGAGCACCTGCTCCATGAATCTTGTGTTTGGGTGAGGCCTGAGTGCTCCCTCCTGGTAACCTGGAACCCTGGTGCCCTCCTGCTGGGAGGAGAGCTCYGAGAACCTTGCACGTCCCAATTTGTGCATCGCTTCCTCAGCCATCAAAGCGATTTGAGATCGATGCTCTGTTTAAGAGGGAGGCCGCGCAGCTCCGGGCGGCAGCGCCGTATCGAGTGCTCCGCGGGGGAGTTGACGTTCTCGGTGCAGCTCTTTGTACAAAAACAGAGAATATAAAGATTTTTCCAGGAAGGCCATGATGCAATAGCGGGTTCTGGGATGTTAAAAATAGTTACTCTCATAAGCTCCTCTATGAGCACGAATGCAGTCTGAATTTGGTTGATAGAGGGTGCACAGCAGAAGTAAGAGTTAGTCGCAGATGCCAGAACTGCAGGGTACTAGGCAAGTCCTGCAATTTTAATGTGCAGCAAGGCCAGAAGGCAGCTTGGTGCAGTAATAATAATTCAATGCAACTAATATATATAAAGACATCTGCGAAGGCAAAGACAGGTCTGCCAAGAATGCTCTGCTAGTCAGGCACCAACCAGGCTGATCAGGGTATGAGGCTGCGGGATGGAGCCACTTGTTTCTAATGGRTTGGAGCCCTCCTTAAATAAACCTTCATTAGGGAGGGTGGCACCACTGAGTCGGCTTCCTGCTGAACCGTACAAGACAGAAAGAGTGTCAGCCACAGCAGCGAGAGTGCCACGCAAATTGATTTAAAGACTGGAATAATGGGAATCTTGAAGAGCTCTGATGAGAAATGAAGGAGCTGAGCAGAGGGAGATGGAAACAATGAGAGGAGCAAGGAGCCATGGGCTGAGAACGGAGCAGGAATGTTTTCTGTTTTCATCTGCAGGCTGAAGCACCACCCTTTCAAACAAGGCGTGAATTTAATCTATGATCAATGCATCTATAAAACCAGTTGGGGGSATTTCTGTGGTGGATGTATAGTGCCCCCGTGAATGAAGAGCCCCCAAGCCAGCCTGATTCAGGGTCAGTTTTACTGAGTAAGCTATCAAGGTGCTCATTTGTATCCCTCTATTTTTAGAGATTTTTAGCCTCTCTAAAAAAACTTATGACTGATGGATCTTAGACCTGTCCGCATCTCTATCTGCTGGATATATAGTCTGGCCTTAATGAGGTTTCTGTATACAGGGTTTTGTAGCTTGGATTGCTTTTATATATTTGTTCTGAAAGTAACAGCTCCTTAAAAWTTTGGTTATTGATCATAGGGAGGCAGTAGATACTTTTAGTCTTCAGAATTACAAATAAATCATTGAGCGAGGCTATATAAAGCATTTGCATTTTATTAAAAGCACTAGATTCAGGGTTTTCAGAATTTTATTTCTTCATATGGGGATCCACAGAAAAATATTGTGGGACTTAGTCCTTCTCGCTCAGTAATTCCACCCATGTTAATAAGCCAGAATTAGACTCTTCCCAAATTGCATAAACCGCTGAAAGATTCAAAAGCAGGGATTTAGAGAGTTGTAAAACACCTGTTTCAGCTGATAAGCTGCCTGCACAAGTTGTGATCTGCTTGCAAAGACATGCAAGGTGCCTCTCGGTTTTTATAGCAGATCCGAACCCTCAGCCTGCGTGCTGGTACTTGCGTACGTGTGTGTGGATGTGCGGCACCCTCGGCTCCCGCAGGGCCAGCCTGGCGCGCGGTGCCGGAGCAGGAGCCGGGCTGAGCTGCTGCGGCAGCTTCACCTGCGCTGGGCTCTGCGGCTGGACCCGGGCAAAGGAGGGAAATAATTAAAAAGGCAGGAAAAAAAGAAAAAGCTGGGAAATGAAGATGCAACGAATCTAGACAAAAACACTACGACCAAGCCTCATTGGTAGCAGCATGATTTGCATGTTTAGAAAACAGGTGAAATAAGCTGCTTCCTCCACCCCATCTGCTTTTGTCCTGACTTCATCCTGTCTGGGAAACAGCAGCTGWGGCCAGGAAGGGATTTGGGAGAGGAGCAGGTGATAAAGCTGTTCCCAGCAGGCTGGAGCTGGCCCTGGCATTGCTGTAGAATGGATCAGGACAGGACAGGGCATGTCCTGGCCAGGGTAGGTCTCCCTGGGTCTTGAGTGGGCTTGGCAGTATAGGCAGGCATTAGACCTGGGGCCTTGCTCTATTTCTGTGTGATTTCTGATGTGTGTTTTGATATTTAAATAAGCCCATGTTCCTGCTTTCTGTGTGGAGTTTGACCCAAGTAAGAATTTAGCAAGTTTGTTTGTCTGTAAATCATGAACATGAGCCCCTGGTGTGTTTTTCTTGCTGCTGGGATTTTGGTGCTGTTTACTTTGGCTGGGGCTCCTTCTCCAAACAGCTTCCCTATTAGTGCTGCTGGGCAGGAGCATCCSGCCGCCTTTGCTTCCTGGCTTCGTGCGCCATAAATGGCGTGTTGCACTAGACAGAACTCGGAAGACAACTCCTGGTTTGTCTCCTGATGGGGCAGAAGCGCCTGCAGTCGGTGTTTGGTGTCCTGGGCCTCTAAGAGGGCTGGAAGCCACCAGCACAGTAGCTGGTGGGTCTTCAACCTCGGAGAATTTGAGTGTCTTTGTACTGCCGAGCAGGTGAGCGTTGAACAGCGCGTGATCAATAAGAGGCATTGCCGGGGGTCTGCTATAGTCTGCACTGGCTCACGGTAAGTGTTGCTATAGGCTATGGGCCTAGGAGTATAAAACGTCGAAGGGCAGTAATAATTCATGCATCCTGGGACGTGTAAAACCAACAGCATGTCAATAGCTGTGGCAGGCTGTGCAGAAAATATGCAGGATTTGGGTGTCRCAGGAGTCCATGTTATACTTTAAACCACACTTTCCTTGGTAAAATATAGACTTTTCCTATTTGCTAAGAACGTTTATTTTCAGTTTTATGTCACTACTTCTCTATTAAGATTCTAAAAGATATGCAGCTCAAAAGGGGCCCAGAGATTCAGAAAGCAAAATATATGTATTTATTGAAGGAAAACACATAAAAGATTTATAAAACATAGGGTGCAATAGTATTTGAGATTCATGGACCATTTCAGCATTCATAAAACCATACATGGCTCTCACATTGACTTCCCTGGGAGGCAGATGCTGCTTGACGGATCACCCGGGAGGTATCTGGCGTTTCCTTAAACCACATTCATTACAATCGCTTTGCATTTCACTTGGAAAGGGAAATATCGTGTGAAATAAGTACCACCTTCTTTTTCAGTATTCCTCCTTTAAAAAATACCTCAGGATAATTAATATTTCCTGTCGGTTGTGCAAAGCTGCTAGACAAGGTGAGTTGCTGCGAGGAGGACGGTGCCGTCTCATGCATATTCCGCCGCTCCGGCAGGGCCGCGTGGAGCCCGCGAGTCACTAGTACTGCTCGCCTGGTGCTGGCTCCCGCAAAAACTCTTCAGATGAAACTTTAATGAGAAGGGGGGAAGAAAGGGACGCTGGAGCAGACCCATTCTTATGCATGCGGCTGTGCGCTCCCGCGCGCCGTGGCCGCTGCTCCTCAAACCTGCCTGGAACTAGAAAGGCAAGATGGAGGTGGCGTGTGTCACTYGTCATTATGTGAATACGGGCCTTAACGCACAGGTAGCGCTTCTGAAAGAATGTAAAATACTCACCAAAAAATAAAGGGAAGGCAGCACAAAGAAACTCGCCATACATTATTTAAATCTTCCCCTGTGAGAGGCTGAGGTCTCAAGCGCACGCGGATCATCTGCTCGCCGACATGACAGCCGTCCCTCCACTGCGGAGCCGTAAGGCCCCGCTCCACTCTGCTTTTTTTTTTTTTTTTTTAAGGTTTATTTTCAAATAATAATTAAATCTTAGATACAGTTTCTATTTTTTTTTTGAGGACTGTAAAGTGATTTTAATGTAGGGGACTGCTACTACATAAACGAGTACTACCAGATATTTCAATGCATCCTGCTGAAGCTAGAGTGAGACAGAGGTGGTAAAAAACCACGAAGTGAAGCCTGCTGGTCTCTGCGACCCGAGAAGGGAGGGTTTTGTTCCGGGCAGAGCATCTTGGCTCCTCCATGTCCCTCGGCTTGGCTTGGGGAGAGTGGATTTTATAGCCCTCCTTTGACACTGAGCAAATTTAAAGCTGTTGTTGTTGATCCTGTTTCTGTTTGTATTAAAAGGATATCTGTAGTGTTTATATTATGGGGGGAAAAATGCTATTTATACTTTTTGTGTTTTCCATGTCTCTCTTCTTATGACTGTGCTGTTTGCCAGCAGCCAAGGGGCCACTTTGATGCTTGCTTTGATGTTGTGGTTTATTGTGTGGCACAGCTACAGTTTTCCTTTCTAATCAGACGCGGCATACTGGGTAAAAAATAAATTGTTTCTTTAATTATGGTTTTCTCATAGAGTTTGCCTTTGCTGTGGCTGCCGGGGGGCTCGAGAGGCGTGTTGGTAAATACCTGTGCACACTCTGCTGCCGCTCTCGGCGATGCCGCTGCCCCTGCTCCCTGCGGCCGGCCTGCGCCGCGGCCCTTTCCCCCGCAGGGACCAGCCCATGCGTTGCACGGAGCACRTGTGACAGCCCACACCTCTGCGTGCGCTGAGTGCTGAGCTCATGGGAGCAAACAGCCGGAATAACGGGAGCGTTCGTCCCAGCTGCAGCCCCGGCAGCGAGCGTGGCCTGCGCCCACGGGCTCCCCTGCTCGCCCCGTTCCTTGCCCGCGTGGCAATGCCCGGCAYGGCTTAATGGCAGTGATTATGTCCGTTCCTTTTCCCTCTGTGCCTCTCAGCCATTTGCAGGCTGATGAGAAACCATTTTGTTTCCATTTTGCAGATGGAAAAGGGAGACCTTGAGAGGCCGAGTGATTTGTCCAGGATGATACAGCAAATCGATGGAAAGAAAAGGGATCAGGCCACTCCACGCAGTTCAGGAGGGCCTTTAATTTCCCCGTGGGCTTTCAGGGAAAGGCTCTCTGCTCCCCAAGGGCCGGTGTCCATTGCCAGCGTTCCTCCCTTGCTGCTGCCAGGCTACTGCTTGAGCGATGGAGAAATGCAAGATGTATTATTCATTGCTCCTACTCATCAAATCAATACCTATCAAAATACAAATACAATTTAAATCAAAGGGCACTTGTTGGGTGCAGATCCTACTAATTAGGTATGATTTCCAAACAATTTCTTAAATTATTTATCCAAGGGTTGGGTACCAGGCACTTTACGTGCCTCAGAGTGACTATTATAAGCCTCTTGTCATGATGCAGCAAATGTGAAATGTAGTGCAATGGAGTATGATTTGTAACCTTGATGAACTAATGTAATATCAATACACATCACTCTCCACAAAAAAAAAAGTCTCGTTATAACGTCTAATGAGATATGTTGAAAGCCAATAACCTCATGAAATGGACATGTCTCGATGAAGGATACAGATTGTGCTGCTAGAAATCAATTAAAAATGCAATATCAACCTGCAGTGGAAGTCACTAAGCCACCATCGCCAAACCAGAGCTTTGCATCCTGCGTGGACATCCATCACGAGAGCGGCTCCCTCCAGGCTGCCTGTCAGCTCTGTAAGCAAGTTCAAAATTTTTAAGACCTTTCTCTCCTGCTGGTATTGCTTAGTCTAGTCTGGTAGTCAACAACTAATCAATGTTTCTCCCATATCTACTTAAATACACTTACTAAAAATCTGAAGAGGTGAATCATTGATTTTTTGAAGATTTTTTGCATAAAAATTGGAGAGCAGCTCTTTGGTAAAATGCAGGGTTTACAGTTGCCAGTCAATGCTGTAGATCAATGCTTTCAATAACGGAAATCAGTGTCTTTCAATTCTTAGTCATAAGTATTTCTCTTATGCAGCCTCTTTGGGTATTAATTTTCAAATGTTAACTCCCCTTCACACAGAAGATGTTAAAAGCCTATTGAGCCAGCCAGGCACAAACTCAAAATCTTTGGTTGCAGTTATACAGATATGATACCTCCTCACCGAGTTGCTTCATATCAGTGATTTAAAAGAACAGCGTTAACTATTAAGGTGCATTTTTTTGACTTTTTTTTTAAAATACCTTGCTTGAAACTCAAGCATCTTCTGGTTTTAGCATTTTTCTTCCATCACCTGGCAGCACTTCAAGTGTAACTTTGGAGACTTAAACTACTTAACTGTGGAGCTGCTATAATGTCAGAGCCAACAATACGTGAGAGACTGAAGTCATCTGAGTAACTCGGAGCTTAAACCTCTCAGTCAGTGCCTTGCTCCTTAGCCTTAATGGTGCCCAGACTCCTAAGAAAGCCAAAGGGAGTTTGAAGGCGAAGCCCGAGTGATCCACAGCGTCTGCTCGCTGCTGCAGGCAGCCTCTGATCTTGCTGCTCCTTCGGCAGCTCTTCGCACAATAGTGCAAGCCGAGCATGCAAGGCAGAGCTTTAACTCTGAATTTCAYGGCATTTTAAAGTACGAGTCCAAATTTTAATGGTATTTAAGCCTCTCTTATTAGCAGTACAATAAGCGCCTTTCAAATAGCGTTTTGCAAAAGCCTTCCTAGCAGGCTGTGAAAGACACATTGTGAAAGTTGGAAAGCTGGGGATTTAATGCTGGCTCAGGGATGGGTCTCTGCGTTTGAAGGGATGGGAGGAGTAAGGGAGTTTGGAGAAGTGCTGCATTAAGAAACTGAGAGCTCTTAAGGGTGATAGCACAAAATATACTTAAGCATCTCAGGAATATATTGATTAATTCASAGTTTGCTGTTCAGCTCTCCTTGTATTGCTACTGCTCTAATCAAGGGAGATTTGGAAAGTATTTGTCTGGCAGGTATAAAAGCGAGGTTCAAGCCCAGAGTGCCTCTGCTATAAATCCTAGCCCCATCAAGTTAAAACAGACTGTCCTACATCTCATGTGCTTTGTGTTTTCTCATCCCATTCTTATTTAAATGAGAACAAGCTATCTGGAAGGAACATCCAAACTGTTCCTCGCGTAACTGCTGCTTAGCAGTATTTTCATTTTCTTATTCTGCCTAATTCCTTTCAAACATGTTAAATCAACACATGGGTGACTGTATGTTAATGCCTGCAAAGGTTACCTAAATTAACACCGTGGGCTAATTTTATTTTAAATGGATGGTGGGAGCACATCTGTTTCAGAGAGCTTTCCAATTGCCTGCTGTAACGACCACTTCAGCGAGCTGCTACATGCAGAGCTGCTTATTTGCAATAGTATTAATGACTGCAGCTATAAAATGGCGTGTTTGAGTTCATAGCAATAGGCTCCTCTTCCTCACTCCCTTTGACGAATCAGCCCTATGCTAGTGTTGAGGGGAGAGCAGAGCAGCTTGTGTCCCTTCCCATAACATGGGTGTTCATAGGACTGAGCTGGCTAAATCTTCTCCATTTGCTTGTGGTTCCCTCAGAGAGAGGAATGGCATTGTCTGCATAAGGAACATCATTTTTCAGGAATTGTTGTATATAATTATATAACGTTATAAATATAATTGAGGTAATAAAAGTAAAGCAAGCCGTCTCATTTGTACTTGTGGATTGACAGTGCATGTTTTTTGCTATTCCTCATGTCAGTTTAGGAAATGATTTGGAAACAAYCACATGCAGAAGATGCCATCTGAGGGAAACCTACCTCCCATAGGAGCCCCAGGTCAAGCAACTGCCTTAACTGGAGAGACGTGCCCTTTTCCACAGGTGTCCTTCTCYGGATGAAGGTGGGTGCAGCCTGCAGATATCTACATTGGGCAAACTGAAAGGGAACAAATAGGTGGATGTTCAGCTGACACCTTCCTAATGTAAGTGGTTTTGCCTTAAAACGTGGGAGAGCGACAGCAGCGCTTGGCAGGGCAGCTCTGCCTTCTCAGAGATGGGGAGGCAGAGGTGATGCCTTCATCCTCACGATCTGTGACGTCTCCATCCGGTGATGCAGGAAACAGCTGGGATCTTGGAAAAATAGAACTGAGATGTGGACAGAAACTGAGAGCCCTGCCCGCAGACATAAGGGAATCCTGCATAAAATAAGGGGTTGTTGAAAGCTGTGTGGATGCCTTGGCTAACACCCTAAACCATTAGACCATGCTTACTAAATCTGTGTTGCCAAGTCTGTTGCCATTGAAATCTGAAAGCAAACATTAGCAGCCAAGAGCATCATGCTAATTAATTGCCTCAGGAGGATACAATTTCCAGGATCTAATGAAAGATGGAATCCAGCTCCCATATGTCCTACTTGATGGACCAAGAAAATGTGGCCATATTTTTCGTAGAGACAGTGAGAAATGTCCAACTACTTGTCTTGCAGTTGAACAAAACTAATCAGCAGGCCTGGAGACGACTGTGCCCATGAAAAGCCAAATCAGGCTGTGGCCGAGGAGCCGTCGGCGTTTACCACATTCACGGCATGTTCGCAGTGATAACTAGCCTGAGCATCAGGATGTTGCTCTGTGCTGCTGCTGCTGCCTTAGTGATCAGACAGCAATACCCACTACCTTGCATGCAGCCGCTTGGTAACTTTGGCAGGTCTGGCAGGCCATAAAAATAAAAGGTTAGTACATCGTATCCTTGACAAAAAATGGAAAGAACAAACAGAGGGATTGGTATAAATCCAGATAACAGTATTGAGCACTGCTTAGCCATGCCACAGGCTTGCTCTTGTGCAGACTGGAAATCCTTTTAATGAGAGGCTCATGCCAGAAGGGTGCTGGCAGTAACTATGGGGTGGCAGCGAGGGCAGGGACCCTTGGATCCCATCGGAAAGGCTGGAGAAGCCTGTCTATGGCTGTGAGTGGGTACTGCACCCCTGAGCACCCCCTGCCAAGGCCTGGCTTCTGGGGGCGCATGCGGTGCTTTTCCTCAGTTGTTCCGCTTGCTTAACTGTATCACGCTTCTTTTAAAATGTATGTTTTGGAGGTTGTGGCTGTTGTTAAGCTGCTTCTCCTCTGCACACAGGAACTACAGAAAAGACGGGCACACTGTTGTGCACGTGTTGTTATTGTACCGATAATCTGCCGCGCGAAGGACAGGTTTCRGATCAGCATTTAGCAATGCAGTGTTATTTTCCTGATGAAAAATGTTGGACGTGATTCCTAGTTTTGCCTGAATAAAACTGACCGATGAGGCGGTGACCATGTGCGCTGGTTTGTGCGATGAGACCTGAGCCTGGGGCCTGCGCGGCGCTGCCTCCCGCCGGGCACTCGCTCTGCTGGCCACACGACACGGGCCCAAAGGGTCACAGGGACCATTTAATGCAGCGGGAGGCTGAGACGAAGTGGGAAGTGGCAAGGTTAGCACGCAAGGSCGTGGCAGATTTATGGGTGCGAGCCACAGTCCTCTGAATGTCGCTTTATCCACCAAACACCATTAGTATTTGTTAAATGGTCAATTCTGGATGCACTCAGCTTCTTGTTTCATCTTTAAATATGATACATGTGAAACTACTAATCTAAAAAGAGTATCTCAATGATATGCTCAGTGAAAGTGGGCATAGTAAAAACAAGTACAAATGGCATAGCACATTTTACCTTAAATATGGAGGCAAATATATTTCATTCCCTCTATCTTGAGATTAAGGAGTAAAAAAAAAATAGGACAGCCAAGGTAAGTAATTGCACCGCAGCAGCCATTGTGCGTCTGCTCGAGCTCTCTCAGGTTTGTAGAGAATAATGACATTGCCGAACTCCAATAACTTCCACACGGAACAGCTCATCACTGCGACAGGCCTCAGTAAATCATTTAACAGCACAAGGGCTGCCATTACGCAGCCTGTGGGATAAAAGCAGACACTGGCTATTTTTCCTGCAACTGGGCTTCAATTTCACTCTAGATTTTAGGTGACAGAAAGCTCAGAAAGAGCTTCTGGTAGCACTCTGAGAGATGAGATCGACCACTTATGAGCACGTGTTTTGATGACACAGCCTAGGAAATTGAAGTGATTATTATTACGGAAGGACCAAGGTAATAAGTACCATGTAATATATGAGCAACTGTCAGTCAGACAAGCCAAGAAAGGTCATAATCCATTACATGAATGTCATAAATGTTATCATAAGATGACATCAGGATGCTGAACTGGAATGCTTGTGCTTTTTTTTTTTTTTTTTTTTTTAATACTGCTGCTGTTAAACTTATCTCTGTCCTGGAAAGACAAGTTTAATATTAGTTTTTCTTTCAAAATAGAGCATTGCCAAAATCTTGAGCACAGCGTAAGTAATTTTGCTAACATTTGTATCTTTAATTTTTTTTTTTTTTTTCTTTTAAAGATCATGGCTGATGTGTCACAGTAGAATCCAGGACACCATGGGCAGGTGAGGAAGGAATCAGCAGTACCACAGTAATTCCTGAATATTCACCCTCTGGTTTTTTATTTGAGCCACCACCCATTGCTTTATAAGGTAATATATAATAAGTTTATAAGGTAATATATAAAAASTTATAAAGAGCTGCTGGTGCTCCCGTGTCCCCACAGCCCAGGGCACCCCTTGCTGGCTGTTGCTCGGCTCCCCACGGCGCCCCATGACAGCAGCACTTTGCCCAAGGTGGCTTCCCGGGGCCCAGCCAAACCCAGCGTTTCGCATCCGCCATGGGTGCAGTAGCACGAGGCAGCAGAGCCCGCGGCTCCCCGCGCAGCCTCCTCCCAGCCAAGGCATCCCACACCATTACTGGCTGTTTGGAAAAACTACTGATCGCACACAGCTTAGGCTACAAATAAGCCATGTTCATACCAAGCAGGTACAAGTCCAAGAAGAAGCCAGTATGGCTCAACATGACGTAAGATACTGTTAATCATTGCTTCAACTTAGACCAGAATGCCTGGAAGTGCAGGCAGGAAAGTACTTTTCCAAACTACCAAATTATCTTGGGCTAATAGTGTAATGCTTCTCACTGCTGTGCCACGTGTCCCGGGACTGAGCAGATAATGCCACAGCTGGAAAGGATCGGAATTTCCAGAAGATGTCGGTAAGCCAAGCACTTGCACAGGAAAGGCTGCTTTTTGCTGTTGTTCTAGGGGAAAACAAATGTTCTTATTCTTTATTACTTATCTATATAGAGTAACATTCTATGATAAACAAAACTCTAAATCACTCATCTGTTTTTGCATCTTACGCTGCAAAGTGCTTTCTCATTCATATGAATTTACTTCTTTCTGTGATGACAGCAATATTCTTCCAGTCACGTGTGTTTCCAGAACTGGCATGAGCAAGTCAGGTAGCGAAGCAATTAGAAGAGGTTGTACCCAGAAGTGCTGTTTTAATATAGACTCTTTCAAGCACATACTTAGAGCAAACAGAACATTCTAGGCCAGAGATATAAACCATAGCACTGCTTATGATCTCTGTGGAAGGATATGACACCAAAAGTGCTTTTAGGATGCTCCAAGGTATATCAAAAGGCATTAACTTCAGCACAGCTAGGCATATCCCCAGATTCACTTATGAGTATATATTTCTTACATCCTACATGTTAAGTATGGTTAATATAACCTTGGTCATTGAGAATAAACCGTAGCATAAGCCTATTAGGGGAGATTTASCCTGTACACTTCTCTGCTAACATCTGCTTGGCTGACATATGTAATCTGCCTAGATGTCACAGTTTACATCCTATTTTYATTGGAGAATAATGAAACTTGATTGGTGTCTTCATCTCCTCCTCTGACTCACTAGAAAATATTTCCTCTTGTCAGCTCCTCCTTACCAGCCCTCCTTGGCATGATTCTTGCCTGGGTCCCTTTCCAGAGGGGACTTGCAAGCGACCCAACACCTCAGCACTGGGTATGCAGAGAGGTGCCAAGGGGGACTGCAGACACTGGAAGAGAAAGGTGCTGTGGTCACTTCCTAACTTGCTTGCACCCAGGTAGGCCACAGAGCCCTACAGTATCACTATTTTAACAGCCATCTGACAGCAGTAGCTTTCTGAGGACTAAAGTTTCCTCTCAGTTCTTGCAGACCTTAAGTGTCTGCATTGTAGTAATTCCAGAACAGCGTAGTCCAAGGGGTAACTCAAAATTAGGGAAAATTAGACCATTTCTAATGAGATAGTTATTACACTGAATAATGATGATTATTGGTTCTGCTTAATAAAGCTGTCAGCCAAGGCAAAATATATATTAAGTTAAATTACATTGCATTACATTTCTATCAACTCAGATATTCAGCGCGGGTACAAACCGTGGGCATAGTGAGACGTTATAAAGTGCTGCTTTTCCCAAATGGCATAAAATGTGATTTTTTTWAAAAAAGTACCCGTTTAAAAGCCTGATTTAAATCCCATTAAATCCAAGGAGCATTTTCTCGTATTCACTGTGCTAAATATCTAATGCTACTGCTGATATGAACACCTGACAGTGCTCTCAGCCTGCTGAAGAAAGGAGCTTCCAGTCACATCGAGGTGATGTGGTGAGGCAGGATGAGCTACTTGAGGCCACCAAAGTGACAGTGCTATAATTAGGTAGGGGATTAAATTGCAGGAATTGTCAGCCATACCAAGCCCAACACCGCTGAGCTCCGGAGTAATCCCCTGCCTCGTGCTCCTTCCTGCCCACTGCTTCCCTTGCTCTTCCTCCTGATCTATGTGGAAATGGAAGATGGACTTCAGAGTGTAAATTACACTTCTAATTTCCAAGGAGAAAACAGGAAAATATTATCTATTAGCTAAAATGGAGATGTCTGCCGGGCCAAGCTCAGGCAGTGGAGCCCCAGATGCACAGAGGTGAGGTGACTCACCAGAGGCCTCTTGGCACAACAGGCCAGGCTGGGGCCCTTCTCCAGGGCACATCTGACTGCTCAACATGTTTTTGTCTAGAACAGGACAAAACTTCAGACTCAGAAGGTCCCACAGCACTGAGGGATGACAAGTGTCCCTTGGGATGGTGACACTGCACYAGGAGACTCTCCAGCAGTCAGCTGAAGAAGGAAGAGGGGAGGCCAAGAGCGAACTGCTGCTACCCTGCCTCTCTAGGCAGATTTCACCTAAAGGGATGTTTCTTTAGGATATTTTGATATAAGCTAGACTGTATTTTTCTTATAGAAAAGGTGCTCGCTGTACCGGCAGTCCCAGTACTTTTTATAGATTCTGAGAGCAATTGAACAAGCAGTAATGGGAGATGACTGACTGTGCAGCTCTGCTCGTGGACCTCAAGGCTGGGGTCCATGAGGCCTTGCAAGTGCTGCAGCATGAAGCTGGGGAGCGTGGGTCCTCCTCTACGATTTCATTTCTTTGAGAGTGCTATTGCTCTTACAAACAGCTTTGCATCACCTCAAATGAGGAGGATAACGTGGTTAATAAATTGCAGTACATGTGGTTAGAAGATTTTTATCATGCTTTGAAACATTTAGTAATCAACAAGATTCCTCCTCTTCTGAAGCCCATTTTGCAGAGTTCCATAAACAAGGTTCAACAGTCACCGTTTCATTAGCATTATATGGTTGCCATGGCAATGTGGTACCAATGCAATCGAGGGGCTTTGCATCCCGGGCTTATTATAGAATTGCTCTTCCCATCTAAGATACATCAATATAGCAAYAGCAAACAGACCTTATCATCTGAATATCAGCACAGAATTTCATCCTGTGCTAATTTGGATAGGAACATGTCATGCTGTTGGCATCAGACCCAGCAATGATGAGAGATGGAAGTTACTGAATGCCGGACGCAGCCAAACCTCCCCTTGGAACCGGGGCCATTTCTTGCATTGCCCCCTGAATTTGCCCTCAGAAATTTGCTCAGAAATGCCTGAATTTGCTCTTGGAAAAGCAGCCAGTGCTGCTGTGGCTCCTGCGTGCAGTGGCTGGGAGGCCACGGAGCGGCAGGTGACCGTGACCACATCCAAGGGAAAAGCGGCTGTGGGTCCTGAGCAACAAGCCTTGARCTGGAGGCCGACTGCTCGGAGAGGATTGCAGCTCCCGCCGGGAATTGCTGCCAAATGCAACGTCTCGGCTTCCCTGCCTGTAAAATGGGGATGCTGACCCCGAGCCCTGTGTGTGGAACACCCCATGTATAACCGAGGAAAAATGATATATAGCACAGCTAAATATTGTTATTAAGTAAAGTAGCAATGTTTTTAGTGGTTCCAGGAAAATGCACAGCAGAGAGCTACAATTTGAGGAACGTCGCTGGGAGGATCTGGGCTCCCCCCGTGATACACAAAAGAGCTGGCAGCCCGAGTGCACGGCACAACATATGCGCTTGTGGAGGAAAAGAAAGATAGCCACGTCGTTAAAAAATCATGACAGTTTGTACTTTTTAAAAAATAAAAAATATTGTAGGCTACAAGAGCATTTGCTGCCGCARTCTAAGCAACCAGAGCAACAATTTAATATAAGGCAGCAGCAGGGTGGCTTGTTTATTGTATGCCGAAACACTTTCCTGTAGATTTTCATTGTTTTGTTGATGATCGTTTCCTACTTAGATAGGAAATATCTTTCTCCATCCCGACACATAATGTTCAGTCTATCATTTCTTAGCTTAATCATGTTGCGTCCTTTACAGCGGCAAGGGTAAATTATAGGCAAGATAGTATTCAGTATAATCAAAGATGTGTTCCATTTTATATGATAAGTTTTGTCTGATTTACAAAGGCAGTTCCTTCTCCAGCTGAGCACAGAACGAGAAAACTCCACTAGCAGATGAAAAAGCACCTCAGCAGAGAGGCCTCTCCTCTATTAGGATCCTATTGTTCGCACACAAAACTAACCGCTGCTGCCGCTATTATCTATTAATTTCTCTCTCTCTCTCTCTCTCTCTTTCTTAATTTTTTTTTTCCATAATACCCCAGAGGACCAACCGAAACCAGGACCCACTTGAGCTAAACAGCCTGCCCAAGAATTTGGAGAAGGCGGATGATGTTGTAGGCGAAGGCGGCTTTGTCTTGGAGTTGTGCTTGCTTGCTTTCCCTCTGCCTYTCCCTCTCCCTGAAAATCCCTGTAATGTAAAATGGTTAAACACTGGGGGAAGAAGCATTCATCTTCTGATCAGTAAATACTTCCTTGTGCTGAATGGTGCCTGCTGACTTTACTGCTGCTGCAACTTTTTAAAATGCTTCCAGGAAATCTCATTAGATTTTAATTAATATTATTATTATTATTATTATTAAGGAATTTGAACAGAGTTTGTAATAATTGGAATTTAGCTTTTTAATAAAATCTGCAAATAATATGCCAGCATGTATTTGATCTCATATACATATCTGATAAGAATGCTGATTTGTAGTAAAATTTGCAGACATGGGTCTGTTGTCTTCGGATTAATGAATATAAAAGCTGGCGGCTTTATGCTGGCAGTATTACGGTAAGCCTATATTTTTATAGTGGTTCTGAGCAACGCCTTCAGTATTTGTGAAGATTAAGATTTAGCATGCAGAAGTAATGCCCATTATGATAAGATTGTCCACAGTGAATTGAGGAGAGCATTTGCTTAATTAAAAGTATTTATCTTAGATGATTTAAGAACTATGTTCTACTGCCGAACTGCGTATGTAAATATATTCCCTATAATCAGTTAAATACTGATGACTCTACTGAAGAGAAGAAGAGAAAGGTAAAAGGAAAATGATAGATCTGACTGCAAGGGGCCCCACGGACCTGGTCCTGGGATGGGGCAGGTGCCACCACGTGCAGAGCTTGGTGGGGCCCTCGCAACTCTGCTCCCCCCAGGCCTCCCGCCAGCTCCGCGRCTCCGGCGGGGCCGGCAGCGGCGCTTCCCGGTGGGGCGGCCTGGACGGGATATCGGGGCACCCGCCACCGCCTCCGGCTGAGGCTGCTGGACAAGCCAGCTAGAGGCAGCCAAGGGCAGGGGCCAGGCGCCTTGCTCTGCACGCGCTCCTCGCTTGCTCATTATTTCTTCTTCTCTCCATTTATATTCCAGACCATTTTTTTTTCTTTCTCCATAAGCTAATAGGAAAAATACTGTCCCCCCTGCCAGTCATTTAATTTAAGTAATTTGTTTTGATGCTTGCTCGGAGCATTCAAATAGCAGCTGACAACAGCTGATATGTGCTACAGTCCTGAAGTGCCGGAAAAAAATGATCTGCAGAAGCCTCTGGTGACGCGGGCCGAGGTTCCCCGCGTGGGGCCCTGGGGACCCCCAGCTTTGCTGCCAGCACCCACTTCAAGGAAGTCCAGGCTGGTGTAAACCTCTGCTCTGCACCTGCACGGGGAGCAATGAAACCCAGACCGTGTGTCATATCCTATCTAGGTCCTGGGAAAACACAGTGAGAGAAGAGGGAGAACCGAGCAATAGATACAATAATGTAAGAGGCACCTGCTGTTAATGTCTAGAAAAGCTCAAGTGCTGGAGTTTTTGAGTGTGGAATTTAGACACRGGTAAATAGAGCAACACATTAAGTGTGTTTTTTTTCTCCAGAGCAAAATTAGATAGGCATACGGAGCAAATTATAATATTTAGAACTTCCAGGGCACATTCCAGTTGAGGATCACAAAATAATTTGAAAATATTAATGAATTAGCCTCACAGCTTCCTTTCAGGTAGATAATAATAATAATTACCACAAACAATAATAATAATAATAATAATAATGTTATTGTTATTATCCTAGCTTTGAAAAATGAAAATGGAGACACAGAGAATACATGCATTTGTCCAATGTCTGTTTTACCGCTCTAAGCATCCTTCTCTAGAGTTATTATGTATCACATTTATCCAACATATTTCTCAGTTTGAGTTCTAAAAACCAATCAGCAGAGCTTCCTTATGAAGCCATTCTTGTGAATGTCTCCATTTGCATTTGAATTCTCCAGCAGCAACAGTCCTGCTTTAAAAAAATGAAGGCAAAAAAAAGAATAAAGAAAATAAATAAAAATCTGTCAAGGGGCCATCTGTGACTTGGTATCAGAATACTGCCAAGAAGTTCTGAGGAGCAAAGATCATTTTAAGTCTAATGCCTGATGCTTTTTCGTCTAGGGAATTAATTCAATACCATGATTTTTTTCTCGATGCAAAACAGTGTCTCTGTGCTGTGTATCTGTGATCCTGCATTTAGTACATGTACCCAGGCTAAAATACAAAATGTCTTACATTTTGTGGTACTCTGTCTCATGTCTCCTCTTGATGGCCAAGGATATTTGCCATTTTTCTAAGGAATGTCAGGAAATGAGGGATCCCTGATCCCGGCAAGATGAGGACAAGGATTATATATTTTGAATGCAAATATATAAAAGTTAGGAATCCTTATTTGCAGGCTATTTATTATCTCCTCTTCAGGTGCCAAAGTCCAATGAGTCTCAGCTTTAGCTCTTTCACACATGCAATATTTGGAATTAACTCCAGGAAATAGGAAACATAGCATTAACATCATTCTAATTCACCACATTATTTTCTCTTCCTTTTTTTTTTTTTTTGACCATTAGGGTATGCAAATGTTCAGTTAACTGGTCCTCAAGTTTTCTCTTTATTGAATTGCTTTCACTATGGCAAAATAAATATTCATAAAGAAATGTGGACAATAAATCATTTCAAATTGTTCAAAGTCATTTTCTTTGCAGACTGCAGATATATTCAGCTGTGACTCGCCTTTAATATTTCATTCAAAAGGAAGACTTGTAGAAGGACAATAGAGATAATGTGTCAAGTAGTAATTAAAATAGGGGGTAATGATTAAAACTATTTCAATCTACACTGTGCTCTGTCAAATTCATAATCTCCCCTAGTGGTTAAGATGACTTTCCACTTGCTTTATAGAGAAACTCAAACCCAACTTCTGCTTAAAGACATTGCCCAGAACAAAATATTTCAGCTCTGAGGCTGTGGGCTGCAGAGCCCCATACACCTCTGGGACCTGGGCACATGCTCTGCCGATGYGCAGGTGCAGGGAACCTGTTTCGTCACTCAGATTTAATCTGTGACTCCAAAAGAAATGGACTAAATAATATTTGGAGATCTTGGTTCAAATCCAGGTAACAATGATGTTTCATGCCTCTTTATATGTGTTTAGGTGATCTAAATACACCCCCATATTTGGCCCCAAATTGTTATCTTTCTTGATTTGTTGCTCGTTTTAGGCCCCGTTTCAAAAAAACACTTACATACAAACTTAAAGAAATTGATTTAGGAAAGCATTTCTCGTTGTGTTAAATCTTGGGCAGACATTCAAGTTTGAAATCAATTGGACTTATGAGCAGTCCTGACCTTGGGGTCTAAATGGTTGCTGAATCAGTGTATCGACAGAAAGATACTGGAAAAGATAATATCCATGTCTAATCAGAATTATAGTCTCTATTTTCATGGGAAATTACCCATAGATAACACATTATTCTGCTTAAGAAATCCATTTTATGGCATTTATTAGAAAGCCCCAGCTCATATTTTCTGTATATGCCAAAGATGCCAGGTAAATGGTGTCATTCCTTGATAGTGTATCAAATATTCTTTAAATGAAAAAATAAAACACAGGACAAATACAGACACAAGGGATCATTTGTAATTATGTACCGAGACCCTCTCAATTGCCTAGTGTGCAGCAGCCTCTTGAAGGATGGGTGAATGGGGCAAGCGTGGTTCTGCATTCCCCGGGACTTAATGACGACTGCATTTGAAACATCCTCTTACAGAGTATCTGGAAATGAAACTCCCACCTAAGAGGGATCACATTTGTATGGGATGTCTGTTCAGTTTACATGTGAAATTATCAGGGATCACACTCTTACAAGCAGCAAGAGTTAAAAACCTGCATGTTTCTGGTATTGTGGTATCCTGGGTGTACAAGCACAATCATGACTACCTGTATGAGATTATGAGAAGCAGTTGGTGAAAATATTGCCGATAAGTGAACTAAAAAGGTCTTCTTGCCATCCTTAAAAACGTTTCAGCTTATGATTAGTCATTTGCCTAAAATGACTAAGTATAAAGATGGCAAAAAGAAGCTTTTAGGCACTGTTTATGGAGTCAAACACAAAGACAGAAAAGGTAATAAATTAGGATGGGCTCCATCATGGTATTTACTGCCAGGCATGATGAATAAGAAGATCCTAATGAGATGCAGGAGGAGGACATGGGTGCAAGCTCCCTGCACAGTCACAGGGGCACAGTGTGACCCACATTATTCCACTGGCTTCTGAGCAAGGTTGAGGAATAAAAGCAGGGGCAGCTGCACAACATCTCTCAGAGTTGCAGCGGTGGGGACCCCCTCTTAGACCTGTGCCTAACCTAACACTGACCACACTTGCTTTAATGGTGCTGAATACACAATATGCAGTGCTGTATTGCATGCACACTGCACACAAGCCTCAGAGCCCACATCTTTCAGCTCAGAGGGCAGACTGTGAGGGGAGAGCACAGGGTCAGGACCTGCCTTTTCCTACTGTATAAYTTCCAAACAACCAAGAAAAAAAAATGAAGTTTTTCAGTCATCCACCAATCCACCTCAGAAGAGAGTGAGGCCAAAGCAAATCTTCAAGCTGCTACGTGGCTGCTTTGGATGGTGTTGCTACACCTGCTCTCGATTGGAGSTAGATTAGCCTAATTAGGATCACCTGTTCTCAATTAAGTCAGCTGGTGCCTAGCAGGGGCAGAGGGTTTATAGAGCTCGTAGGGGAAGGGGGCCAACTCTTTGCTGGATCAATGTTCCCTTGTGCTGGCAAGAGCTGCTGGAAGGGAAATGCTGCACTCTGGAGCTGGGGCCACCTTAAGCAGTTCTTTAGCTTCTGTTAAAATCTCAGATTTGGAGTACTTCATTACAGAGGTGAGTTTTGCCACTGGTTTAARTGGCCTGGGGTTTCACACTTTCCTCAGAGTGCTGTAGTGTTGTTTCTCTAGTGCTGCATGTATCAAAAAACTCCTAGAGAAAAAGCCATAGTATTTCCCCCACCTTGGTTGAGAAGTATTTATGATGATAAGTTTATTGAGGAAATGGAAGAAAGTGACCTGCTCTTTCTGTGTTCATTTTTCTTCTTTCTTGTGTGCCCATGTACATTTATCACAGTTATTCTCCTGTTTAATTTTGTAAGATTACTATTTGTTCCTGAAAATCTCTTTGATCAGTCTCTTTTGCTTTTATTCCTGGCTCTGCCTGACAGTGTTGGGCCAGATTTTTAGCTAGTATTGATTTGCACTGATTCCAGCAGAGTCACAGTGACCTCCAGCAGCTGAGGAGCTGACCTGCTAATGTCCACCCTAACCACCTTGCTTCCAGCATGATCTTCCTCTTGCTAAAGGGACTTGTTCTCTGCTTGCTGAACAGGCAATAATAAGGAGGATGTTAAGCTATCCAAATCATAGGGAAGGAAGTCATAGAGATGCCCAGTATTTATGTGCTTTAACAGCACTTTAGTACCTGCTGTTGTACTTCCCCATGGCGRGGAAAAAATAATAATTAAAAAAAAAAAATTGAGCATGGTGTGTTACCTTATAGCAACTTTGTACCCTGCTGCAGCATACAAGCTAATGTGAGGTACAATGTAACAGAGCAGAATAGCTAGATATGAAAGAAATACGTTTTAAAGCTCATCCACTGAYGTTGTCGTGAAGGGATAAAGAAAAAAGATTCCCCCCTGCTAGCAGACCTGCTTTTTTCYATAATTACCTGGAAACTGTGAAGGCACCTAAGATAGACTGGGTGGAAGGAACCATTAATCTATTCAGCACTATAATATGATTAATTTT